GGGTGACAGCTCACGTGACCGCAGTTGTCCTACGGAGCTAATGACGTTAGCATGCTAGCAGGAAGTAGACGGACCCGAACGTAACTTAGCAACACAGCGCAGGTCAGAGTGAGCACAACGTTTTTAACGGAGTTTATCGAGAAAAAAACAATTCTGTCGTTTAGTAAAAATGTCTAACGACCAAATGCTGAGAACTTTATTCCGCCAGCGACTAACTGCGGCTGGTGAAGACGTATTTGGTATGTTTGAAGGAAAGATAGCAGAGCTCGAGGAGGAACTTTCTCGTACTAAAGAGGTACACGCGCGACAACGGAAACTACTGAACGCTGTTTTCAACCCGGAAGTCCGGAAACAAAGAGCAGGTTGGTTCACTTTGTTTCGTCTCTCAGTTTTCAAACACTGTTCATGCTCCGGCTGCTAACTTTTTAATGTAGGTTGGAGTGAGATTCGGTTGCAATGAATATTCTTCTTCTGACCTGTTCTCTCAGCTTCTATATGACTGATAATATTTAAATAAATATCAAAAGTTGTTTGTTCTCTTTGATAACACCACGTGGATTTTGCAGCTTATTGAATTCTAAAATGGTTCATATCTTCATGGTCACATAAGTCAACCTTGACCTATAGGTTCCTGAGAGCAGTTGGAGGGCCGGTGTTACGGTTTAACCAGGGACCCTGTTAACTGGCGACCTTCAGACGAATGCGTCTGTTGTCGTAGTTACGGCAGCTGTTGAAACAGGAAGAGAGCATGTTGCTCTTCCTTTTGAAATAATAAAGTTGGTAAAAAGGTCTCGGGATCGCCTCTCTGCTGTTTGCAGATGATGTGGTCCTGTTGGCCTCGGATCGTGACCTACAGCATGGGGCGTTTTGCAGCCGAGTGTGAAGCGGCGGGGATGAGAGTTAGCACCTCCAAATCTGAGGCCATGGTTCTCTGCCGGAAACCGGCGGATTGCTCCCTCCAGGTGGGGACGGAGTGCCTACTGCAAGCGAGAAGTATCTCGGGGTCTTGTTCATGAGTGAGGGTAAGATGGAGCGGGAGATCGACAGGCGGATCGGTGCGGCTGCAGCAGTAAAGCAGGCGCTGCACCGGACCGTCTTGGGGAAGAGGGAGCTGAGCCGGAAGGCAAAGCTCTCAATTCACCGGTCGGTCTACGTTCCGACCCTCACCTATGGTCACCAACTCTGGGTCATGACCGAAAGGACAAGGTCGCGGCTACAATCGGCCTAAATGAGTTTCCTCCGTAGGGTGGCCGGGCTCGGCCTTGGAGATAGGATAAGGAGCTCGGACATCAGGAGGGGATTTTGTTTTGTTTTGTTTTATTTTATTTGGGAGAAACCTGCATTCCAGGAGAAAACCCATGGGAGGGTGGATGAAGGAAGGGGAGATGAAGGAGGGAGGGTGAAGGGGGGAGAAAGATGTAGCTAGTGATTTCCAGCCCACAGTCCACCTTTCTGTCGCCGTCTCACGTCTTCTTCTCATGCATACAGCTGAAGAACCTTGTCTCTGCATTTTCCTTCTGTCAGTCTGTTTGTCCATCCTTTTGAAGAAGAATCCTCTCTTCTTCTCTACTGTCAGATGTCCTGCAGGACCTTGTTATCCTCCTTTAACTGTTGGATGATTGTCTCCTGGCTCTGTTGTGTCTCTTCCAACAGTTCAGTCTTAGCCCCTTGTTTAATAGAACCGACCAGACCTTTGTTGACTAATTGCAAATCTGTTATTTTGGATTCCCAGATCTGGTCTCTCAGGTCCAGGACTTGTTTGATCTTTTCCACCACACTGTCGTAGACTTCCTTCCAGACCTCATCGTTCTGGACAAGTTCAGCTTCTTTGGTGACGAGCAGGTTTTGAGACTCTTTGAGCTTCTGTGAGAGACCCTCGTTCTTCTTGCTGAGATTAAGGAGTTGGTAGTTTTGCTCAGAGAGTTTTGCCTAATATACATGATGCACGTCCATGGTTACATTGTGGCTGTTTCTGAAGGTTATATCCACTGTTTCTACGGTGGCAGGTTTACGTACATTAGTCAACTATAACTGCCCACATGATCAAATCTCAGCAGGACTTTATGGAGGAATACTTCTTAACAATGTTGGGTAGTGCCACACTTTTTTGCCATATAAACTATTGATGACCTCATTGCTGCTGGTGCGTTGTCTTTATGATTTGTGTCGGCATGTCTGTTTGGTAACTGTGCACAGGGAGTGTAAGATGGAATGATGGCAGGAAAAAATTGTATATAAAGGAGACTATTTGCTCAATACTAAAATGTCTTTATAACGTCTCTGTGTGTGTTTACTGTTTTCCTGCAGACCTCCAGCAGCCGTTGGTCGTTAAAGAAGAGGTTCCCCCTCAGCAACAGGAGTGGAGCTCCAGTCTGAAACAGGAGGACCCAGAGCCCCCACACGCAAAGAGGAACAGGAGGACCCAGCCCCCACACGTTAAAGGAGAACACGAGGACCCAGCCCCCACACGTTAAAGGAGAACACGAGGACCCAGCCCCCACACGTTAAAGGAGAACACGAGGACCCAGAGCCCCCACACGTTAAAGAGGAACTCTGCACCAGTCAGGAGGGAGAGCAGCTCCAAGGGCTGGAGGATGTCAAGTTCTCATTCACTCCTGTGAAGAGTGATATGTAGCTCTGGAAATAATGATCAGAATGTCAACAAATTTGAACTTGATGTTCACAGCCAGTTATTGCATCAAATAAAGCAAATGTTTCATCAACACCTTTGTTCATTTTTGAAATGTATACAGTTAAACAAACATTAACTATAAGCGGAAAGTGAATAGGAAACTAAAAATCCAAAAGCCATGTTTCTCCACATTATCATAGTAAGGAGGCCGATACTGATCACAAAAGAAAGTCATTGATATCAAAGGCTCATCTCATCATAAAAGTAGGTTGTCTGATTATTCACTTCACCCTCTGATGTCACCAACCCCTAACGGGGAACTAGTGCAGCCTACACTTCAAACTGACACATGGGGCCCTATAGATTAAACCTTAGAACACGTTATATAATATATATATGGTAATACATCTTTCTGTAAGGACAGCCTTTCTTTACGTTATGTCATCTTTGAATAACTCATGATGATACTGTGAGCCTACAAGCTGCATGAAACAATATTTTTACATGATTTAATTGAAAACTTTGAATTAATGAATTGGAAAAATCAAAGATTAATCATAAATTTAAATGTGTGTATATGTATATATATATCAGCTAGACAAACACTCATATGTATAGTATATTATATATAAAGCTATAAAGAAGACATTTAGCTTTCTATTTATCATTCCTACTTTTAAGATTTAGTATCTCAGTAGGATACAATAAATAAGGTGATATTCTTCATACTATTTTAGCTAGCTGGTTCCCTGCTGACCGTATATCAACAGCAAACCACTGTAGACTGCATTGTAAATATCTCTAATGATGTGCTTTATTTTATGATACTAATCAGGGAAACATCAAGAATTTAACATTCAAACCTTTGATCAATTCACCCAGTAACATCTTTCGTTTCCATTCGTGTTAGCGATACCCACCACGTGTTAGTGTTCGAGTTGAACACTTATATATATACTTTTAAATGTATCATGATGTTTTCTTTTGTTTTTCATCTTAGGATGTTGTTTCCATAGACTGTATATAAGAGAGCTTGTTACATTTGTGTCATTTTCTTGTAGCTGCCACCACATACGTCTCACATCCTTCAGCCTCTGGATGAGACTAATTATTATGCTGGTTAACGGTTAATTAATCACAGGTGGTTTCTAACATTTTTGTCACCATAAGGCACACACATGATTCATACTATCTGATTGTGTTTCAGCCAGTTACACACTGCTGTGCTCAATCTAAAACTCTTTTAACTATTTTACTTGTGTCACGGTCTTGGGTTTGGTTTAGTTGGTTTCCTGTTTTATTTTGAATGTCCCTGCCTCTTGTCGCCTGTGTTCACTTCACTTCCTGTATTTGTGTGTGTGTTTTCCCGCCTGCGTGATTGTCTGCCCCGCCCCTGATTAAACCCTTCTGTGTCTAATCACCTGCACCCCCCAGTGTATTTAAACCCTTTGTGTCCTTTGTCTCAGTGTCAGTTCATCTGTTGTGTTACGTGCTCTGTAGCTTCCCTGTGTTGCTCCATGTCCTGCTCCATGTCCTGTTCCATGTCCTGTTCCATGTCCTGTTCCATGTCCTGTTCCATGTCCTGTTCCATGTCCTGCTCCATGTCCTGCTCCATGTCCTGCTCTGCTCTTTCCTGTTTTGCCCGTTACTTGTTTTTCCCTTGGATTTTTTATTACACATTTTTGGACTTCCGTGCTCTGCAAGCTTTGTGTTGAACATTTTTCTTTATAATTAAAATCACCATTATTCATCCCTCTGTTCCCCCGTGTCTCTCTGCGTTTAGGTCCATCCTCTGCTACCATTTTCGCCCACCTTGTGACACATTGTTAGAATTAAGTTCATGAATATTGAATGAAAAAACACAACACACAAAACCAGTACAGCACACTGATGAAAATATTATATTATATATTTTTCTCTCCACATTGTAAAATCAGACAACACAGCCATGCATTTCCAAAGGTTGCATTTTGTTTTGAAAATCAGAACAGAAATACAATTTAGTGCACAAACAAAACAACAAACAAACAAAAAAGCATAAATTACTTGCATTTAATTGCTAATACATGTTTCTGAGGGGTTTACATCCCAAAAATTGGGTGCAAATCAGAATGTGTTTAGAGTTTTCTAAACTTGTGCAAAAGTTTTCCTCTCTGAGTGTCAGATTAAATCATTGTGCTCTATGTGTCATTTTAGTGTATTAGCAATTGAAGGAAAAAGCTAGAATTATGACACGAATTACACACACAAATGACAAATCAAATACATTCTGTTATCTTCTATTGTTATTATCTCTGCCAGGAAGACGATGGATCAGTTGTGCATGTGCGTACGTCTGAGTGAGTGAGCGAGCATACTGTTGGTGCATTAGTGTTTAGATGGGGAGTGGTTATTACAGACACACCTACACCTGGTGAAATGTGCACTCTGCTGAGTGCACCATTCTAGTTTATTACATGGAACGAAATTACATAAAAACCCAAAATACAAAGACACATTATTAATACCATAAGCAATACGATTTAGAGGGGTCCTGGCCAACTTGATATCCACTTTGGTGAGCAGGAATGAAGCACAACTGGTGGGAGTTTATTTAGTTCATCCCTATAGTTTGGATAAGCATCTGTACTCACTTTTGTTATAGCCTCCTTTTCTGCAAAGGAAAAAGACACAAAACATGAATAATCCATCTGTCAAAAATCAAAAACAGTAAGCAGCTTGTTCACAGTGTTGCTTACCCTCCTCGGGTAAAGTTCTGTGTAACTGCTGCAGCTCCTCGGGCAGCAGAGACTTGATCATATTTGTGACATTAGTGACTCTCATTCCACAAAACCTGTCGTAGTTTGTCAAATCTGATCTTTTTTGCTGAGTGTGTCTCTGCACAACAGTTGGAACTGCAACACACGAGATAATGAATGGATAGAAAGCATTAGCTTGGGGAATTGCAAGCACTCTTTGCTGTGTTAACATTAACATATTTTTTGGGCATATACTACCTATACCAGGACGTGCCACGTTAGGCTCTGTGCAGCTGTAGAGAGAGTAGTTGCCCAGCAGTTCAAGCCTTTGCTTTGGCTGGCGATAATTGTCCCTCATTTCAGTATCAGTAGAAAGCAGCATTTCAGGCCTGCTGTACCGGGGTTCAAGTCTTCCTTCTCCTTTATTAATAAGATCATGTCCTGTCAAATAAGTACCACAACAAAATTAAAGTAGAGAGACATTTTATGACTGTTTCATTTAGAAGCTCCTGAATGTCAGTAGTCCAGCTGTTCTGACATGCTTTCACATACACAAGACTGAACCAACAGACTTGTCATACCTTGAGGCATACCCATGTAGTCACATCTGTAGATGGAGCTGTACTGTGCTGTCAGGGCCTCACGGATCTCTCCCTCAGATGGGGGACATTTCCAAGGGAAGCCGACATACTCAGAGTTTTGTGCGTTATCCCTAGGCAGCCTCCACTTCATGAAGGACTCGATGTGGAGAAGAAAAACAACTTGATTAAAAGGTTACGATACACAGTGAGAGGTTAAGCATGGCATTCAGCTATAAATGTAAAATTGAGGCTAACGCAGCTTAAATACCAACCTGACTGGGATGCGGGTTGTTTCTCCTCTGCCCCGAAGATGTTCCTGTGCGAATGCATTCAGGTTTACAGGGTGGCTTCCAGCTAAAATCCTTGTTGTACACTGTTGAACTAAAAGGTCCAGACTGTGAATAGGAGTCTATAAATGAAGTTGACGTTGGGCTCCTGCAAACGCATCAACATACAATTACACACACAGAGAAACAAACATATTCTATATGCCTATTCTTCACCAGGAGCCTGTAAATAGAACTTACACCAGAATCTCTGCAGCCGACTTTGGCCGGTAGACGAATTGTCTTCTATTAGATGTTTGATATGGATCCCACCACTGTTTGCCCTCTATAGAAAAATATACCATTAGAATGCAACCCTGAATTATTGATATGTTCGGTGTCATTTCGAGCTACAGACAATGAGTTGGGTGCACAATGAAGATTGAAAAAAAAAAAAATAGTAAATCATTCAAGCAAATAACTAATATGCAAATGTTAGAAATGCTATGTACACCTCTGTATTGTGACCCTTTTTTTTTAACTTGACTATCTTATTTTTGACTGGTGTTCGGCTGAGGGGGACAAGAACAGGATTTTGGAAAGTAACGCGATCATATCCCCGTCCCAGTGAAAATAACGCCCTTGGTGACACTCACAACAGGTATGAACCAAAATGACCCCAAAGCGAGATAGCATGAATAGGGAAATTAAATATGACATTTCTACATTAATAATTACAATGCTGTAAGTAAAAATTAAAGTATTGTGAATAATAACAAGACATGACTCTGCAACGCTCAAAAATAACAATTCCAACTAGAAATACATTATAATGTACCAGTCTATCATTAAGCTTAATTACACGACATAATGAGATGAACATATTATATAACAGTACATGTAATACAAATGCAAGAAAGTAATAAGATGACTGCTATAACAATAAACTATAACAACAATTAAAATGATTAAGTAACTTTCAAGTTAGTTAACAAGATTCAATCTCTACATCGGCTGTCCTTGGTATAACATTACCTTTGGTTGCCATTGTTGACCATTGTTTTGGAATCTTGTGCTATGGTTGTTTTCAGTATAATGAAATCTTTTCCGTTTCCATTTCTTTCAATTCATTTGTGGTTTGCCAAAAAGCGTTAGGTATTGTTTTTATCTAAGCAGAGGCAGAGGTGACCCCAGAAGAATGTCTCTAGGTGCTGTGGTTATGGAGACCTACGACATGGCCACAGTGAGCTGCTCAGCAGGGGAGATGTTGCATTAAAAATTCAACATGGCCATATGCCTTATTTATATCCGTTACCGGCAGTGGTGCAAAATAGGTATGTTTAGTCAAGTAATTTCCTTTAGTGCTATAATATCCAACAATGACATTTCCAATAGAAATACTGTACATTTATTGTATATGACCCCTATAATTACTGGTTACGCAGCAGATACACATTTTATTTAGGCCTACAAAACCTACAATTATTTTATGGAATGATTTGTAGGCCCCATATAAACTACTACAAATGTCCCTCAATCCCCTCCTTTATTTGAGGAAACTCGTCTATTTGCAATTCATGATACAGAGCTCACAAGAAATTCAGAGAAGGAAGTCCTCCAGATGACTTATACACCTATTTGATAACTGTGTGGTTGAGTCAAGAGTGAATTTTGAAAATGCTCTAAATTATAGTTATGTATTTGATACTTTATAGTTTGTTGACAATATTAATCTACATTTACCTAAGTGTAGGACATGTTTACTTAAGTAAAACAATATAATGGGTAATTATTCCACCAAACAAGTCTGCACTTTTCAACCACAACTTTACTCTAAGTCTAAGGCATGTGCAATATTAATACACCACAAAAAAATATTATGTCTGTATATATTGTAGATTTTTTCCTTAGTTAATATTCTTTACTGTTTATTACTTATTTACTTGTTTATAATACTTGTTTTGATCCTGTTTGCACTATCCACTATGCTGCTGTAATCCTGTAGATTTCCCCGCTGCGGCACTAATAAAGGATTCTTTTATTTTAACGTTACTTGATTGCTTTTTTTTTGCCTTCACTAAAATAAATGCGATGGAGGTTTGATATTCAAGTTTAGCGCCATCATCGCTAGTTTTTTTTAACCAACTGTACAACAAGCAGGACCGAGACAGTGAGTGTCCAATAAGATACTCCAAGGAGTTTACGGCAGCCAATGTCCGACAGCCGGAGCCCGACACACAGGCACAGAGGCATCCTTCTCACAGCCGAAGGACCGCGCATTAGCGCTGCTTTTCCTCCCTTTGTTTGAGACGTACCGACGCAAAGATGGCTTCATATAGCGCTGTAGTAGGGGTAAGCATGATCCATGTTAACTTATTACACACAGCGACTTGTGTGGAACTGTTGTGAATGAAACCGTGGGCTGCGGTCAGTTTTGCACAGTATACATCTGCGTATAACCTTGCAAATTTAGTTGCATGACGGAGCTGGATAGGATGCTAACACAATAGCAAGTTTTTGCTCATGTTAAATACAGTCTTGCTACTTAAGTTACCTTCGCAGACATAACCTTCGGCCATGTGTAATAACCCATACCAGGTTCGATGTATATCACCCGATGACCAAGCCAACTATTACGTCTGGGTTATCGTGACGTCCGCTAATGTGTTGCGAGCGACTCATAACGGTAGCTAGCCTGCTACGTTCGCTACGCTAGCCCCGTAATGGAGGCTGAATGGTCTGGTCGTGTTGCTATGATAAAAGCTAACAGCGGCTAGAAGGTGAGCGTAGGTTAATGGTGCTGAAGCAGCATCGGTACTGTGATGCAGGCGGAGCATCCTTCCTTGCCTTTATTGCCACTTTTATTGACATTTATAATCCATTAATCTGCAATATCCAGACACGCCACTGAGGTTAAACCGAGGCCCGTTTAGAGGCGCGTGGTGGCATACCGTTAGCCTTTGTTCGCAATCAAATCAGCCATTTTAATAATCGTCTCATGAAATTAGCAGTGTGTCATGCCAGCTAAAGCTAGCTAGCCTAGCTAAAAGGCTATCGCCAATACCAATAGGACACAAAGCGAGAGCGGACCCACAGTGCCTAGCCTCTAGCGATCAGTAAAATACAGTGGAAGCTAATGCTAATCCAACGTTACTCATCTGCATGCTATTTGAATGGGAGGCGAACGTAACTAGATGATATCATCAACGCTCCGTTCTGTTTTCACGAACTCTACCAACGGCTATATCACCGTGCACACATGATGGAGATAAAGCACCACTAAACTGAATGCGTAGTTGAATATTAAAGTATGCATCATGTTGGCCTCTACATACAATGGGTTATTAGTCATCCCAGACACCCTCCTCCCACCACCCGATTTAAACAATAGATGGAACTGACAAAGCAAGAGGGGGACAATTGACTAGGGATATATTTAGATATAGCCACTGCTGCATGATGAGGATTGGATGCATATCTCTTAAAACCTTTTTTTCTTTTCACATCTATTTAGCGGTCCAAGATGGCAAAGGATCCTAGGAAGCCAAAGGGCAGAATGTCCTCATATGCCTACTTTGTGCAAACATGCCGTGAGGAACACAAGAAGAAACATCCCGATGCCTCTGTCAACTTTGCAGAGTTTTCCAAGAAATGCTCTGAGAGATGGAAGGTGAAATACATTTCTCTCAATAGCTATAATCATCGTCTTTTTTATTTTTTATTCTCTGAATCCAATATTTTCTTTCAAGTAGCGTATGTCTTCTAGATTGTTTGAAACTGCTTTTTATCTTCCCAAAGACAATGTCACAGAAAGAGAAAGGCAAGTTTGAAGATATGGCCAAGCTAGACAAGGTGCGTTATGAGAGGGACATGAAGAATTACGATCCCCCCAAAGGCCAAAAGAAGAAACGGTACAAGGACCCCAATGCCCCCAAGAGACCACCGTATGTACCATTTAAAAAAAAAAAAAAAAACTTTCTCCACACCAGTTATTTTTTCTGACAGTTGACAAGTGGATTATGATAACTTATCTGACACATTATTTTCCCCCACAGGTCTGCATTCTTCCTGTTCTGTGGAGACTTTCGCCCCAAGGTAAAAAGCGAGCATCCTGGTCTTACCATCGGGGACACAGCAAAGAAGCTGGGAGAGATGTGGAACGGCTCATCTGCAGAGAACAAGCAGCCGTATGAGAGGAAGGCAGCCAAGCTGAAGGAGAAATATGACAAGGTGAGAAGACAAAGCTGGCCTTGTTTCTGTGAAATTTTGCTGTTGTCTTTTTTACTTTGAAGCACGTAAAACTGTAGGTTCCTCTGTAGTGCTAAAAACACATTTGTTGCGCTCTCCATAGGATGTCGTTGCTTACCGCACAAAGGGCACAGTGGATTCAGCCTCTGCTGCTACAGCCGATGATGAGGAGGAAGAGGAGGAAGAAGAGGAGGAAGATGATGATGACGATGATGACGATGATGAGTAAACTGCATATGGATGGGAGTTTTGTTTATGCCATATAATTCTAATATACTCAATTCACCATCTTGAAACATAAGTCAGACTGAACAAGAACCTGTGTATATTTGATGTTTTTAAGATGTACAGTGTTATTCTCCTTTTCCTTTGTAAAGTTAACACTACATATCTTAAGTTTGAGATTTTTTTTAGTCGTAGATCTTTATCCCCTGCCATATTATGTAACAATTTTGTAGGACAAAAGTCAGTATGAAAGTAACTAGTCTTTAGGTGTTACAACTCAAAAATTGATTTCTGAGTTAGTAGTCTATTTCTCTTTATTTTCAAAAAAAAAATATTTTTTTATGTGCTGTCCCAGTGTCTTTTTATTGTTCTTTGAATACCACTCTAATATCAAACACAGCTGTTGAAATTCAAGAATGTCTTCAATAAAGGTCGTTTTTTTTAAAAAAGAAGTTTGTTTTTCTCCATCTCAACATCTCCCAATGTATAACATGTAGCCTTCCAAGTATTCACATAAACATTTCAAATATTCTGTGGTTTGACGTTTTTCATTTAATAAGTATAGCTGGTGGCTGCACAAGTGAATAAGTGCAAAGTTTAAGTCAACAGTATAGTAGAAAAAAAGATATTCTTAACAGAAATGAGATCAACTCGACAGCTTGGTTTTTACTGGAGCGAAGCAGCATCTGAGTATTATTACTATAATAATAGTTAGAATCACGATTAGAATGACTTTCAAATCACAGGCAAATGGCTGATTTCAAAAGATGTCATCAATCGGTGCTCTGCAGGATTATTGCATTTACCTGGATATAAGGAAATAGGAATTTCCAATGGTCTTTTGGTGCATAACAATAGATATGCAAAGCAGCGCTGCAAAAGTCTAGAAACATGAATATGAGCTAGGATAGAAAAGAGCACAATAAAAATATTGCAAAATGTATTGCATTATTATACATCTTTCTTTTCAATAAAAGTGCTCTAATGCTTTGGAAATATGCAAAAGTTTACAGTACAATGTATGTTATCTAACCTGATTTGTGTCCAATCATATTTTAGGCTCCCTCTGCTCTATTTAGTTTTTTCCCCAAATAACCTTGAAAAGTGAGATGTTGCAAATTGTACTGTAGTTTAGGGAACCTAAATCCAGAAGGTGGCGCCACGGTTAAGTAAACTGTAGAGGATATGCAGTTCCAAGTTCAAACCATAGTTAAATTGGTTATTGTGTGTCATGCCCGCAGTGCTCAGTCCACATGGACTCATAGGACACAAAAACTGTTGCATTAGTCAGACATCAATTTAACTTGACATCGTAAACAAAGAACTTTTTCTTTTGTCCCAAACTCAACAAATGAAATCAGACAAAAAAGGTTGCCTCCCTAAAACGCTAACGGTTCTTAAAATCAATTAATCCTTCCTGTTTCTATAGCTAATGTTAATGCAAATTAACTGTTGCCTAAATTCAGCTTCACATAAGGTTCTGCACCAGTTATGTTTGTACCAAACATACAACATAGTGCATAAAATGTCCCCATAATATATTATTGAAAGGGTATAATTCAATCTGAGAAGACAAATAATAGTCATATTAAAGAATTAGTAGAGTTATTTTGTGACGAAAGGAAGATAAATCCAAACTGTTGGCTGAGTTATACTGGCCACATTTAAAAGAAATTAGGTGTTAGTGCACCTATTCAAATCTCTCCTATGTGTCTGGAGAAACAGTCTCTGTGTGCACTACCCCAGTGAGACCCGGCAGAGACCTTTTGTGATCCTTTGCTGCGATAGAGTTCCCTCTGTGTGTAATTGGAGACAGTCTCACAGTCCCGGTGGCCTCACAGTCACTTGAAAAGGGGTTCACATGTCCATTTATCAGGCTTTTCTCAGCAGCGTTGACCTTTGCCATACAAAGGACTGTCCTCTTAAAAGTGTTAGCAAATATGAATGAGCGGGTCTCACAGAGAAACAGGCTTTCCTCCTCAGTGTTCCTGCAAGTAGAGAACATTAAGATTATAGCAGTTGTTTTTCGGGGAAAAGCAGTGCTGATGGTCCAGTTATGTGTTATAGTAACAGCAATTCAGTAAACCATCAATGTAAAAGTACTTTGGCAATGCTTGTTATATACTCAAATTAATTGCTCCAAGAAAATGTAATTGAGTTTTAACATTCTGTGCCACAGTGTCATGTCAGCTCTCTGTTGAAAGCTGTGAATCAGAGCAGCAGTTTTCTTTTCTTTTCTCTCCTTTCACCCACTGAATGAACGCCCTGCAGCCGCTGAATGAATTCCTCATCTGACATGCAGCAAGAAAGGCTCCCTCTAGTCTCGGCCACATTACTGCAGGCAACTGTTCAAAGAGTCCATTTCAGCGCTACGTCGAGGAACCTCTGTTCACGGAGAGAATACAAAACAGACTGATTCAGCAAAACATAGTATTATATATTATTACGCTTTTCTTTTTCACTTGCCAGAATTCATTTAACAAAGAAAGCAAAGACACGTGGACTAATTAATTTATAGATTGCGAGGCACGCTTTATTTTGTTATATATGTAACAACAACAACAACAAACTTTCAATCTGCTGCATTCTGGAGACCCAACAGAGTTTTTTCTCTGCTGCTGAATTAGCATAGAATGACGTCAAAGGGGCGTGTCAGTCAGGATTACAAGCTGAGAAGATTGAGTAATCACTGTGGAGACAGCTTTTAAAGTTTTCCTTTTGTTGGACTTGTTTGGAGTTAATGCCGTGAAGTTTCTAGGATCTCACTTTTTAATGCCACGTCTGTTTTGTTTTGCTTATTTTCCCACTTGATTTCACAAGTAAGAGGCACTTGTGAACTTTAGAATGGACTCTACTGGACACTGGAGAAAATACACAATTTTATTGTTTCATTTTCTGGTAAGTTGGTCTCTCAGCTCATGTGTTGCAGCAGTGAGAGATAACTTATTGCAACTTATGTTTTAACATATCAATCACTGTTTGAATTGATTAAGTATATACGTTTATGGGGCATTTAAATGCGTATAATCTTTCTGTATAAATGCTTAAAAAGTTGCCTATTTTGACAAGAAAAACAAGAGTAATTTCTTATTTTTTTCCATGGTTCCTCAGGTGTTTAATGCTACTTCTTCACATGAATCTTCATCTGGAAATACAGTAAATGTGAGCAGTGAGAGACAGTTTGCTGATATCGTCTCAGGGCAGCATACGCCTTCCTCCTGGTATTATACATCTGTCGGCTTACACTCCCATAACAGAAGGCGAACACAGATGGCTCTTTCCAAAACTTTTTATTCATTTGAAGTGAAAGAAGACACAGTACCAGGTTAGTCATCTGTACAGCAAGGCCATGTAAATTAGGCACAAATGTATAATGTTAATTTATTACGTTATTGCTTTTTAAATGCTATTATTTAACCTGTGATTTTATATAATATCCTCGTTTATTTTTATTGGTCAGTAAGATTATTCTTTTTTTAAAATATATTCTCATTTCGAATATCTATTAGAAATGATAGTTTAGGTCCTAATGTTTATGACAATGATATTGCCAAATGTTGTATTTTCATTTCACAGTCACTAGACCAGCGATTGTGCATTATCCATGTGTTGACAGGGACAGTTGTGGGAAAGTTGGAAATGGCGTTTGAGAGTCTCACGCCTATCACATACTCAGTGCAGGAGGATGATGGAGAGAACCTGTTCCTCCTCAGCCCCTTCTCAGGGGAGTTCCTATTATCCCGCAGCCTGGATTTCGAAGCACAAAGATTCTACATACTCACTGCGGCGGTGCAGCAGGGGGATTCACAGGGATCCGGTGTCAGGGTGTACTTCAATGTGTTAGATGTGAACGACAACCCCCCTGTTTTCAGTCAGGATACCTTTCCTGCGTCGCTGCTGGAAGACGCTCGGGTGGGCACTTGCTTCCTGTCCTTGAATGTGTCAGATATCGATGATGGTAAGTGCAAGAGTACAATATAAATACGACATTCAGCAGATGCCACATTTGTTTGGCCCCTGTGGCATTTAAAGGCAAAGTAGAATCCACAGTCAGAAAGAACCCAAAAGGATCAAAATGTTGCACAGCAACAGTGAATACAAGAAATACTTGATTATGATGAGTGTGAAATGGCACATTTATTATTCACACATTTCTTAGCTCGACATGCCACATCTGGCAAGTCTAATCGAGACATGATCGCACCTCTTCTCTATCTTTGTGTCATTTTATTTTCACATTTTCCAGTGAAGCCCCTTTATTTATTGCTAATGAATACTTTATTACTACAATGTTAGGACTTTGAAGAAGGCCCAGTCAATCCTGGCTGATCATTGCCACTCCCTCTCCAAGGTGCTTCTGTCTGGCCGCAGATACAATCTGCCAAGAAGCCGGACTAATAGACAAATTCATCTGTCCCTGCTCTCATTGGCCTTTTAACTAAGTCAATATGATCTTTATATTGTATTTATTGTTAATTATGTGTCTGATGGTTATGTGGTTGGTTTCTGTTGTCTGTACATATTGAAATATGCACTTAGCAGCAAACAGTTCTTAGTGCGTCATGAGCAAAGTGCAACGTTTTGATCTTTGTTTTATACATAGTACACCAAGCCATTATGAGAAGGGCAATCCATCGTTTGTGGTAACATCATGTATCATCTTTTCCTCTCTGCCAGGTGACAATGGAGACTTGAAACTAAGGGTGGTTGGTGGCGATGAGGAGAAGGTGTTCTTCATAAACACAGCTGGCAGTTTGTGCCTGAACACAGAGTTAGACAGAGAGAGACAACCCCTCTACAATCTGACTGTGACGGCCAATGACTGTGTCCAGACTGTGTCTTCACAGTTCACCAGCACGGCGCATGTTATTGTGGTGGTTGATGATGTCAATGACAACACTCCATTGTTTGTGTCAGCCAAAACAGTCAGTACACCAGAGGACACTGCACTTCATTCTGCTATCATGACTGTGCATGCTGAAGATGAAGATATTGGATCCAACGGGGAAGTTTCATATTATTTGAACAACACTTCCGGTGGCAAGTTTAGCATCGATAACAGGAGTGGAAAAATATACCTGGAGGAGGCATTGGACAGAGAACAGGTAGACACCCTGATTATTTCTGTAACAGCCGCTGATGAAGGCTCACCCAGAATGGCAACCATTATGAATCTCACGGTGCACGTTGAGGATGCTAATGACCATGATCCCGAGTTCTCTCAAAGCACCTACAGCTTGACAATCAGGGAGGACATCTCTAGAGGAACGAGCCTATTCCAAGTTCAGGCTCTGGATCGAGACATCGGGACAAATGGACAAGTTGGGTACGTGCTGACCCAGGAGAGTCCGTTTGTGGTGGACGCGGTTCGAGGTGTCATCACAGCCATGGACAAACTGGACAGGGAGAAGGATTCAAACTACACCTTAATCATAACAGCTGTAGACAAGGGGAATATACACAGATCTGCCACTGCTACTATCAGTATTACAGTGTTGGATGTTAACGACTTTGCGCCCCTCTTTACTCCACAAACACTGACCATGCATGTAACAGAGAACGATGAGGACCCCGCTCAGCTCACACGTCAGGTGCTGCTGGTTCATGTTAATCGAAGACTTCATTGAATGTTGATTCCAAAATGTTAATATTGTCTTTTTTTTAACCAGGTATCAGCTTTGGATGAAGATTTAGGCGCAAACAGCCAGCTGACCTATTTTTTACAGAAAGGAAATAGCGACGGTTTGTTCTCCATCTCTCCCAGTGGCACGTTTCAAATTTTACACAGCCTGGACAGAGAGAGGGAATCATCTTACTTTGTCAACATCGTTGCTGTTGATTCAGGTGATTCAGGCCAACGTTAAATGTGATAACTTTATAAAGTGCTGTTCTGTAATCTTTTTTCAACTCTCAGAGTCACATCAACCAGTTTGATAAACCATGATTTACTTTGTCATGTGAAGGATTGATGCCTCTAACAGGAACTCTCACCATACACGTCATAGTGGATGATGTCAATGATAACCGTCCAGAGTTTACTCAGGAAGGCTACAACACCATAGTGTCTGAGGACAGCCCCACAGGCACCGTGTTTGCCATGATAACTGCATCTGACGTAGACGAGGGAGTCAGTGGGGAAATAAGGTAACACGTAAAAAGTCCCTTTAAAAATTTGAGAGCAATGTGGAGAAGTACCGTCTATAATACAAACATAAAATACTGCTAAAGCTAGGTCCATCATGTTTCTAGTGGTGTAGCATTAGGATTACCATTTCTCACACTGTAGTCTCAGTGTATTTGCAGAATATGCTGTACAAGAGCAATCTCTCTCTCAATATATACATTGTAATGATTTATTCTTAATCCCAGTTCACTGATAGACTATTACATCCTTTGACCCTCCTTTAGGTATTCCATGGAGAACCTTGATGTGCCTTTTGACATCGCAGAAACATCTGGAGAGTTGTTTACAACTGATGTCCTGGACAGGGAGACAGTAGCCATTTACAGGTTGATGGTGATTGGCAGTGATGGGCATCCGACTCAGCCTCTGTCAAGCTCAGTGCTTGTTTCTGTTCTCATTGGAGATATTAACGACCACTGGCCCCAGTTTATGTACAGCCCCTATGTGGCCTATGTGCCCACCGAGATGGCTCCAGGTAAGAGTTTTTACTTCCACTTGACAGTTATGTATTTCATCCTGGATAACATGGACCTGATAGGATGAAGATTTTTATTTTATGTTTTTTTTGTCCTACAGGCTCAGTTGTTTGTGCAGTAAGAGCAACAGATGGAGATACTGAAATGAACGCAGAACTGCATTTTTTGTTGTATGGACAAAGTTCAGATCTGTTTTCCATCCATCCACACAGCGGCACTGTATTTGCTTCAAGTGCTTTCTGGAGAACGGAAGATATCATTGTCAGTGTACATGTGGAAGATGCTGGAGAAAATCCCAAATTTGACATCACTACTATCAGCGTCCGGTTTCACAACGCCTCTGAGTTTCCAGAGGTGACTGTGGATGTTCTGATTGATTTCCTCTCTGAGGACGAGCCAGTGGGAACATTAGTTGCGGTTGTCTCTGCAGCGAGCGCCAGAGCTGATCCAGTCTCCTATTATCTCGCTTCTGGAAACTTTGAAGACATGTTTCATGTGGAGCAGTTGAGTGGAGCGTTGACCGTGGAGAACCCTCTGGATTATGAAAGCAAAGAGGAATTTACCTTGTTGATAGAAGCCAGAGACTCCGGCTCGCCTCCTTTCTCATCATTTGCAGAAATTCACATAAACATCAGTGATGTAAATGATAACCTCCCTCAGTTCACCCAAGCTGAGTACAGGTGTGAGGTTTTGGAGAACTCCCCGCCATCCTGGGTTTGTGATGTTTTCGCCATTGACGCTGACTCAGGCAGCTACGGCACAGTGCAGTACACTATTACAGAAGGAAACACTGATAGTTTTTTCACAATTGACCCTGAAAATGGTTTACTGAGCACCACTACAAATTTAGACAGAGAAAATACCCCTGAATTCAATTTAGCGGTTAAAGCTGCAGAGCTAAACAACCCTCTTCATAAAGACATAGCAACGGTTATTGTTGTTGTTTTAGACAGAAATGACAACGCACCTCGTTTTTCACAGATTTTTCTCACAGAGGTGCCTGAAGATTCCCTTGTTGGACACACGATTATACAAGTCACCTCAACTGATGACGATTCTGGTGCCAATGCAGTAATAAATTACTCCATAATTGATCCAAGTGATGATCTGCCATTTAATATTGACTTCACCACTGGCGACATAACTGTTAAAAGACTTCTGGACAGGGAGATGCACGATCATTACATCTTGAAGGTAAACGCAAATGATTCAGCATGGAGCATTAGCACCGACGTCACTATAGTCATTGCAGATGTCAATGATAATAGACCAGTATTTTCTGATCATTATTACAGCGTTGTCCTCCCTGAAACACAAGGTAAAGAGGTGTTTGTCATGCAGGTTCTTGCTTTAGATGCAGACATAGGGCAAAACAGTAAGGTTTTGCATGTTATTGAACCTCAAAATGAGCAGTTTTGGGTGAACGCATCCTCTGGTGAGATCTATACAAAGCAGCCATTGACGTTACATAATACTGCTTTTCAAATCTACCAGTTTACGGTTATTGCATTTGATTGTGGCAGTGTTCCTCTGTACAGTAACACCACTGTCACAGTGAGATTAGAACCATATAACTACTATCCACCGATGTTTTTACCTTTCCAGCCTTTGATTGCTATCCCGTATCACATGGATGTTGGTACTGAGGTGGTTCAGTTCACAGCAATAGATCAGGATGTCAGCAACACCAGCGATGGTATCGAATATGTTTTCAATGGAGGCAATGCATCTGATTTCTTCTGTATCCAAGTCGACAATGGAAAGGTGATGTTAAATCAGAGTTTGATAGAGAGCGTAAATTTGTTTTTCACAGTATCAGTTATTGCAAAAGATCAGGGCATCCCCTCTTTGTCATCACAGACTGAAATCACTTTTGAAATTACTGGGAGGAATCAATTTCCTCCGAGCTTCAGAGAGCCGGATGTGATTTTCTCTGTCCCTGAGGACTTGCCGGTAGGATCAGTAATTGGGAAAATGTATGCAGAAGATAGAGATTACGGTCCCAATGGTGCCATCATGTACTGCATTACCCCAGAAAATCACTATTTATCATTCTCTGTAGGAGAAACAGCTGGGCTGCTCACACTGATCAGAGAGCTTGACTTTGAAAAAGAAGTTATTTATCATCTCCAAATCAAAGCCGAGGATGGAGGCTGGGTCTCTCAAACCGGCATGTTAAATGTTACAGTGGTAGTTATGGATGTGAATGACAATCCTCCGGTCTTTTCGTCCTCAGAGTACACAACGTCAGTGCCTGAAAACTCAGAAATTGGAACAAATGTCCTAGTTGTGAAGGCTACGGATGCTGATTCAGGTGCTGAAATATCCTATTCTCTTATTGCTGGCCATGTGGATAAATTTGCAATTGATTCAAGAAATGGCACTATCACCACTTCGGACTTCTTTGATTATGAGCGAGAACAGATCTTTGATATAACGATTAAAGCTTTAAACATTGGTGGCCATGCTTTATTTAGTTTGGCACACATTGTCATCCAAATCTCAGATGTCAATGAGTTCACACCTACATTCAGGCAAAAAGAATACAACTTTTCTGCATTTAAAAATGTGCCTGTTGGAACTAGGATCGGAAAAGTAACAGCTACAGATTACGACCAAGGCTCTGAAGGTCAGGTGTTTTACCTGATGTTTGGTCAAAGCAAATACATGGGCTTTGAAATCAACAAACTTTCTGGAGAAATATACACAACTGGCAGTTTGAGAAAACAAGGCAACAGTCACGTAGTTTTAAAAGTTCTGGCAAAGAACTCTGGTGTTATCACTGGCATGGACGTAGACAAAACTTTGGTCCACATCAGTGTGATCGACACGAACGATCCACCTGTTTTCACCACTGCACTTTATTTGGCCAATGTTGCAGAAAACAACCTGGTTGGGACACCTGTGATAACGGTGAGTGCTCTGGATGAAGACTCCATTTTGGAGTGGAATAGTTTCTTCTTCAGCATTGAAAATGGAAACACAAACTTCTCTTTTGCCATTGGGCCATCCAGTGGTGTTATTTCAGTAAACGCTCCACTTGACAGAGAACTCAGGCCAGTTTATAATCTGACCGTTACAGCCACTGACAACGGCTCTCCACCAGCCACTGGGACTACGAATGTCATTGTGACTATTGACGACGTTAACGACAATGCTCCCAAACTCACATTCACTGAAGCTCAAGTGAAGGAAAATCAGCCTCAAGGCACAGTAGTTGCCAGATTAAATGCATCTGATTCAGATTTTCCACCGAACAGAGGACCGTTTACTTACTGGTTGGTAAATCCTTCAACAGGAAGTGCTTTTTCACTGACTCCTGATGGAGTTTTATTCACCAGACGGACTATTGATCGGGAACAAATTGCTATACATCACATCCTTGTGGCTGTTAGGGATGCAGGGATCCCTCCGCAATCATCAACAACAACGATCCACATCAAGATTGTGGATGAAAACGATAGCCCTTCACTGCCTAGAAATATCGTAATCGAGGTGAAATATTTTGGCAGTTCTTTCCAAGGAGGGATGATCGGTAATGTCCATCCCGAGGATCAGGACGAGTCCGATACATTCAACTGCGCCATCATAAGCGGACAACTGAATATGTTCATAATACCTAATGGCACATGTGAGCTGTGGTCGCCTCCTTTTCAAGGCGAGGCTACATTTAACATCACAGTCGAGGCTACGGACCAGCTTCACTTCCCAGTCAACAACAGCATCTATGTGAACTACAAAGGTTTCACAAATGCTTCCATAGACAGCTGCATATTATTCTATGTGTCATCATCCTCAATGGAAGAATTTATGTCTAATAAGTATTTGCGGTTTGTGAAAGCTCTGGACAGTCTGTTTAACCTACAGGCCTCTAAGACTCATGTATTTGGAATTAAACATCTTGGCAGTGAAATCCTTCTATTGGCTGCGGTGAAAAATTACAACGGTCAATATCTTAGCAGAGAGGTAGCCATTGGCATCTCTGTAGGCCATAAGAAATTACTAGAAGGCCATAGCAATGTGACGGTTTCTCACATCACAAGTGATCCATGTGTCATCGGCCCTTGTCTAAATGGGGGGGCGTGCAAGAAAAACATTTACATCAGCTGGGATGTTGCTGTTCTGGAAAGCTCGCCGGTCATCTTCGTTTCACCGCAGAAAGAGATTTTTAATTGCACCTGTCCAGCCGGCTTCAACGGGACGCTGTGTGAAGATGATATCGACGAATGTGAGACGAATCCCTGTGAGAATAAAGGCACGTGTGTGAATACTCCAGGAAGTTTCTACTGTCACTGTCAGGGTGGCTTTTCTGGCTCTTTCTGCTCTACTGATGTAGATGAATGCCTGAAGCTGAAGTGCCAAAATGGGGGAACTTGTTCTTCCACTCAGGACGGATATCACTGTCACTGCCTGCCTGGATTTGAGGGTAGACTTTGGTGTATTCAAAAAAAATAACATTATATTGCATGATTAGAATCCATAATCTCTTCAAAGTCACGGTTTTATTTGTTTGTGTTTTCCAGGAGAAATGTGTGAGCACTTCATAGACCACTGTCGATCAACCCCTTGTGTTCAGGGCAGCTGCATCAATTCACAGACAGGATTCTCCTGTCATTGTCCCTTTGGTAAGAATAACGCATAAACAAGGATCTTTAAAGCAAAAGTTCAACATTTTGGGAAATTTGTTTATTTGGGGAAGTTAGATGAGAAGTTCTATACTACCTATCTGTCAGTTAAATACAAGACCACAGCCAGCAGCCGATTAGGTAAACTTAGCACAAAGATGGGAAACAGGGTGAAACTGCTGGCCTGGCTTTGTGCAAAGGCAACACACACCAGACACCAGTACACTCCATCAGAAGGGCTTGTCGGATGGTTGAATAGCTACTAAAACCCCATACCTCCACACCTTTCCGATGTCTCTTTTCTCATTCTTTACGTCACTTTTCACGTGTAACAAATGAGTGCAACACTATAAGTGCCTTTAAAGAGGGACTGTTTGAAATTGTCCGCCATTTTTCCCCAATTAATAAACAAAATCCTTAAAAAAAAAACGCACAAGAGGCATCTCATATGAACAAGCTCTTCTATCTGTGCTCGCCCAAGGAATAGTCCTGCACATAACCCCCTGTAAAACGACAAATTGTGAATTTGCAAATATTTGCAATTCAGTTTTAACTAGTGACCTTTCAGGTGTGCTGTGTTACAACTGAGAATAATTTACAAACAATATGTTCCATCTTTGTTTTAGGAGTCAGTGGAGTCCACTGTGAGGACCACAGTTATGGCTTTGAGGAGCTGTCCTTCATGGAGTTTCCCCCGTTGGATCGCAGGACTAATTTAATCTCTCTAGAGTTTGCTACAGTGCAGAGGAACTCCCTGCTCCTGTACAACCCCGGAGGACCATCTAGCAGGGAGTTTATTGCACTGGAGATACTGAATGGGGCCATACATCTCTCTTATGACCTGGGCCCAGGACCTGTGAGGCTGCAGACACACAAGCAAGTGGCCGATGGATATTTCCATAGTGTCACTGCCAGGAGGATTGGGAACGTGAGTTCTAGATATGTCAGCACATACACAAGGTTAATGAGATGGCATTTTTTTGAATTGGAAATGAAAGAGGTCAATCTGAAAAGACTGATGTCGCACTACTTGCATTTAACAGATGGGTTCCTTGCATGTGGACAACTGCACAGACATTGAGAACAATGGATTTTGTTTTTCACGGCGTGATGGCAGTAGCTTAAAGAGGTGGCAGTGAAATAATAATTCTTCTTTACGCACAATTCATAATTTAATTCTTTGGCCTTGTGTTTAACCTTCATCAATGACCTCTTTCTGTCTTTATCTACAATCAGAACACTAGATGTTGGCAGTAATATGACGTTCGGAGGAACGAGGACTTTTGAATCTATTTTACTGCTTCCTGCTCAGATAAAAACCCACGACTTTGTTGGATGTATTCGTAATGTTTATGTAAATGGCATCCTGCTGAGACCTTCTATGGCCCTTGCAACATATAACATCCTTGATAGGTAAGTATTTAGTATACACAATTCAATTTCCTACTATAATAATAAACTTTGGGGTTCCGAGTCATGCTGGGCACCTTAGTTGTATCACACCACCTCTCTCCCAACTCATTTACTATCATCCTTCTACTGCCCCCACCTGACAAAAGCATGAAAATAGCAAAACATACTTTAAAAACTGTAATATGGAAAATGTCTCTGTTTTTTTGTCTATACATTTCAACAACTTGTCTCATTTTTGTTGAATAAAGGTGTCCTCGGACAACACCATCACCATGTCAGAGCAACACATGTAAGAACAGCGGCTTGTGCCATGACTTTTGGTCTGACTATCTTTGTGAGTGCAAAAGCCCTTTTACCGGAAGCAACTGTGCTAAAGGTAAACATACCTTTTAATAAACAGGACACACTCTTTTGTTTGATTTTCATCAATTTCATAGTACTCTTTTTTCATGTTCTGTCTTCTTAAATAGAAATGTCAGAGGGGCTTGTTTTGCGATTTGATGGGAATGACTACATTGAGTATGTCATCAAGGAGCGATTCAAGAGAGACTACCTGCTAAAAGACTTGTTGGATGATGAAAAAGAAGGAAACGCCAGAGACCAAAATGGGATTAACATAAAGTTTAAGACCCAAGATAATGGAGTGTTAATATTTGTTGTTGGGCA